CCACTGCACTGAATCTGTGGCAACAGACTGAGCAGCAGTGCTGGTTAAAGATGCAGATTCCTGGGACCTGTGGTTTCAGGTGGAACGCTGGAATCTGCAATTTTAACCCTTCTGGATGATTCTAAAGCACACCGTATCTGAGGACTATGGAAGATCTTCCAATCTGTGGACGAGCCACACGTCTACAGAAGTCGAGTGCAATCACCAAAGCAGTGCTACCTCAAGGGCGGCCCGAAATGTTAGAGGGACGAGTACTGGCCTGAGAGTTCGAAGGTTTCAACCTTGGCTTATGCAAGGACAATGAGCTCTAAAATGAGAAGAAAACGGGTAACACTGCAGATTAAAGTGGGTACGGAGCATTTTTAAAACCCCAAGTTATAGAAATCTGATGTGTGTGTTTCCTGACACCAGAAACTTCTATTTATTGATTTTTATACTTAACACCTAAGATTGTGCCTTGAATATGGTGTGCACATTAACAGAATAAAGACAAGAATTAACTCACTGACAAAGGTACAAAACAAATTAAAAAAAAAAAAAAAAGCTAAGTCTGGGGCGTCTCGGTGACTCAGTCGGTTGAGCGTCCGATTCTGGATTTTGGCTCAGGTCAGAATCTCACAGTTTGTGGGATCGAGCCCCGCATGGGGCTCTGTGCTGACAGCATGGAACCTGCTTGGGATTCTCTCTCTCTCTCTCTCTCTCTCTCTCTCTCTCTCTCTCTCTCTCTCCCTCCCTCCCTCCCTCCCTCCCTCCCTCCCCCACTCCTGCACTTTCTGTGAAAAATAAATTAACTTAAAAAACCAAAAACAAAACCAAAACCAACTAAGTCCCAATGGAAAGTTCAGGGTCAGGAAGACTTCTTTTTGTCTGTCCAACACTGAATAAACATGGAGTGTCTACTCTGTGCCAGCAGGCCTCCCACTAGGTTCCTGGAAATAGAACGCGAAGGTGAGAATAGACAGTTCCTGCCTGTGTGGGCCTCTGAAATGGAGTTAATGATAAATAACTAAGATGCTTTGAGGCCTTACATAGGGGACTTTTACCCAGCCTGCAAACTGGGTACAGTGTCAGGGTGGTAACTGGGTTGAGACGTACAGGCTAAGTGGGCATTAACTGGGGTAAAAGGGAGGGAAATTTCCAGGCAAGTGAAATAATATACTGGAAGGCTCTGTGGCAAGGGAGACCTGAGATTTTTCAAGAAATGAAAAATGTCTTGTGGGATGTGACATTAAAAGAGCACGGTGAAAATAAATTAGAGAAGCAAGTACAGACCAAACCATAAAGGGATTTTGGTGGCTATTAAATAAAATGGGAAAGCGTAAGTATTTTAAGCAAGGAGGTGATAGAATTAGAACTGCATTTTATTTAAAAAAAATTTTTTATGTTTATTTTTGAGAGAGAGAGAGAGAGTGACAGAGTGTGAGTGGGGGAAGGGCAGAGAGGGAGACATAGGATCCGAAGCGGGCTCCAGGCTCCGAGCCGTCAGCACAGAGCCCGACGCGGGGCTCGAACCCACGGACTGCGGGATCACGACCTGAGCCGAAGTCGGACGCTCAACCGACGGAGCCACCCCGGGGCCCCTAGAACTGGATTTTAAAGAGGTCATGTCTGCAGGGTAAAGGATAGGAAACAGATCAGAGATGTAAACACTAGAAGAGATACAGAAGATACCGGAAGCTACTGCATTCCTCTAGTTGGGAGACAGTGGAAAGCAGCAGATGTTAGAAGAGATTTTAAGTGGTTAAAACAATAAAGCTTTTCTTGCCTTTTTCCTTCTCACTGTTTGCCATTCTAACCTAACGCTCGTTTTTCTGTTTCTCAAGTTGCGACTCAACTGGTTCCTTGCTTCTTGGGTTGGTTCAACTTCAATCAACTTAATAGTTCAATTTAAAGAATAAAACAACTTTATTAAGCCCAGAAGGGTTGGAGAAAAGTAAAGCAAATAGTTTCTGAATATTTACTTAAATGTCGTTATCCCTTCCATTTTACCACGGCATGCTCGAAATTCTTGTTTGGGCTTCAGACTCTGAGGTGGAGGAACACTGCCATAGGTAGGATATTTTTCCAAATATTCAGTTGTGGGGCAGGAGGTGCCAGAATTTTCATAAATCCTTGTGGTTCCGTGTGGACAATGATGCCGCCTGTGCAAACGTAAATAAACTGAAAGATTATTTTGGCTTTCAAAAATATTTTATATAACTGCATCTTAATCAGAGAACTTCGATAAACACACAATCTCTAAATTTAAAAGAAGCTTTACTAATACACACAAACACACAAAAAAACCTGTTTATTCTGCAGTGGTGTTTACAAAAATAATGAATAAATTATGATATATCCTTCATGGTGGAAAAAATTATGGTATTTCCTCCGACAATGATTTAGTGTCTTTTTTATTTTACTTTGTTAATGTTTACTTATTTTCGAGAGACAGAGCATGAGCAGGAGAGGGGCAGAGAGAGAGGGAGACGCTATATTTGAAGCAGGCTCTGGGCTCGTAGCTGGCAGTGGAGAGCCAGACGCGGGGCTTGAACTCACCAACGGTGAGATCATGACCTGAAGTGAAGTCAGACGCTTAACTGACCGAGCCACCCAGGCGCCCCTGGAGTGTCTTCTTATACTAAGAAGCCGAAAAGCTAACATTTCCCAGGCTTTTGGCAGGCAGGCCCCATGTACAATTTAGCTTTCAACTGTTGGGTGCGCTCAGCTGATGCTCTCAGACAGCACTATGCAGGGAGAGAGGCTTGCAGGGCTGTGTTAGAGGCACAGAGGGGCTGGAGCAGGCAGGCGTCAGGCAGCGTTCTGGTTTGCAAGGTGGCTTCCTGTCTGGCAGCTTCAGCAGGAAAGGGTGGTTCGGCAGGAAGGAGTGGTTCTGAAGCCTGCCGCTCTGTTGCTGTTTCCCGGGTATTGGCAGGGGCAGTGGCTCCCTTGGCAGCCCAGTTCTGAGGTGAGAGTTTTTGGGAATTTTTCCTGAAAAGCTTACTTTGAAAACTGTTTCTTCCGTTCTTCCAACAATTCTGTGAGCTGCATATACTCCTTAATAAATTCTTTTATGCCTCGACTAGGCGAGAGTAGATTATATTGTCCATGACTAATAACCCTGACCAATATATCATATAAGCTAATAGCAGGTAGTTGTTAAAGAGAATAGGGTTGATCTTAAGGCGTGGCCGTTGCCAGACGCAGAGATTGTAAACAGTGAAAAAGTGGGTTGCGGAACAGTATGTATAATACACTCTATTTCTCTTTCCTTCTAAAGAATGCAAAAACAAGTCTTAAAGAACATTTATTATTTCTAGGACTAGGATGATGAGGGATTTTCACTATATTCTAGATTTTTTCCCTTGCATGTTCATACAGTGCCTCATGTATATTCATTTCATAATCAGAAAAAAAAAGATAAAGCTCTTAACAAAACAAACATAAAAATCCAAGCAAACAAAAAAGAAAAATCAGCTCCTCGGGTCTCATATCATTTCAGGCTCCGGGCTATGTGTGAGGACTACTAATCCAAGCCCAGGTAAGGTTGAAGAAAATGCATACACTCTCTGTAGATGAGTCAGAACCGGCGAGGATATCTAGACTCAGAGAACCCCCAGGGAAGAACATAAGAGAGATCAGCTGTTTTGCATGGAGGTTGCTGGACAGCAGGAAGGATTGCAGTGTGCAGAAGGGTAGAGAGGTGGTGTCATGGGCTATTCAAAATTCAAAGTCAGAGGAGTGGAGAGATTCGAGATTACTGGCTGACAGTGGAGGCTTCGGGAAAGTCCTAAAGTGATTTAGGACCACAGATGGTCTCTTGGAACAATCAGGGACGGGGAACATAGGTCATGCATAGAGGTTCTGATACAGGTGCACTGAGTTACAAGAATCAAGTCCAAGCTCTGGAATTTCTCATTATTCTTAGTTTTATTTCTTATGCAAGGCATACATTCACATTGTAACAAAACAAGCTGAAGAACTTATAAAGGAAACGGGAAAAGCCCGTTCTCCCAACGTTTCCAGTCTCTAGAAACTACTTTCTGACGATCATCTCTGCTTTTTAGTTTTTCTGGAGGCTACATCTGCGTTTTCATTTTTTCTTTTCTTTCTTTTTTTTTTTAATGAGCTTTTAACATCTTGATTTATCCGCTTAGATTTACTAACTTTCAAATCCCAACACAGAAAGATTTAATTTATACCGCTCCACTCACTTCCTGTTACATGGTCACTCATGGATTCCGTGGAATCCACATGCTCATAATGTTTCTTTAGCAAACAGTGATCCAATCCGTGGGGCCAACAGTGACTCCGCGGAAGAAGACTGTGTTTACAGGGGATGGGAGGTTATCACCAATCTGGGTTTCGGGGTGCAGGCTGCTCCCATCTCGGTCGGTCAGATCCCCAAGGGGCACTGCTTGGAGGGGAATGGGGCTCCAGCCAGGCTTGGATGGAAAGCTGGAGATGGAAGAAAGCGTGGCGCGGGCTGAGAGTTCATGGACTTGCAGATCGTCCTATTCCTATTCCTTCCTTCCCCCTAAGATGTTGGGGGCGTGCACTCTCCCAGCGGGATCTGATCGCACCCGTTAGCAGGCTCTGGACCCGCCGCTCCCGCGCAAGCGTCCTCCGCCCACCCGGCCGGCCGGCGTTCAGTGTGCACCTGGCCAGGGAGTCTAAGAGCAGAACTGTTTCACCCGGGAGCCGGCCGGTGCGGACCCGGGGAGTGCGGTCGCCGCTTCCACGTCCCTTCATCTCCGGGGGGCGGCCACCACGGGGCTCCGGCCACCCGCGCCCCGCCCGCCGCCACGCTGCGCGTTCCTTACCCGCAGGTGCAGATTTGACACAGACACCAGCTCCTCATGCTCGCGGCTGGCCGCTGCCGCCCGGCCGGCAGCTCCGCACCTGCAGCTACGGCCCCGCCGCGGCGCCCGCGGTCGTCAGGGCAACCGCGGGGCCAGGGAGACGGACGCGGAGCCGGCTTCCGGCGCGCGCGGGTCAGAGGTCGTGCGCCCGGGAGCCCCGCCCCTAGCGTGCGCGCGCGTCCGGGACCGCAGGGCAGTCGTCGCCCGAGACGCGCGTGGTGTGGCGGGGCCGGTGGCCGAGCGGGGCTGAGCCGGGCGGCCGCAGCTGGTGAGTGCGGGCCTGCGTTGGCTGCCGGCGTCCTCCTCGGCCGGCGGGGGCCGGGGGGCTCGGAGGGCCGGGGCTAGCGTGGCTGGGAGCGGCCGCCTCCCGCAGCGTTGGGCGCCCCCCCCCTCCGCCCACGCCGGGGCCACCGCCTCCCCGAGCCCGCGGACCCGCGATCCTGGAGACCACGAACGCGGGGCCCCAGGGAGGCGAAGGGAAAGTGGACGGGGTGGGGGTGGGGGCTTTTTCTTTTGAGAGCGAGGAGAGACTCCAGTGCACCTGTGGGGCCAGCGAGCGTGCGACCCGAAACTTTGTTCGGGCTGGGTAGGCGGTCACACAGCCGGTGCTTTGGTGTCGGGTGAAAGCGAGCGGGGGTGCTGGGACGAGGGGCTCGGAGAAGGACCGAGGAGCGGAAGGGACAGGTGTCCGCGTCTCCCCTCCCTCCCGCAGGCGCGCATTCCCCGCGTAGGGTCTGCCTCTGGGCAGTTCACTGCTGTCACCGCCCGAGTCACGAGCTGCGTGACTCCTCGCGGCGGTCCAGTCCCGGAAG